CTTCGGATGTTCGGTCTGCAGACTCTGTAGAGCCAGCTTCAACTGTCAGATCGGCGGGATCGACGGCTCCCACTGATTCTGCCGATAACGAAGAGGAAGAAGAATGGGACTCGGACGAAGAGCCTCAACGACCCGAGTGTGTTTTCTTGATAGATAATCAGAAGGATTAAAATTCACGTCCTTTATTTAGTCAACGTCCTCGGGGAGGAATCAAGCAGCCTGTGTCGGGAGGAGGGTCAACTCGTGGGGGGCCCCGTAGATAGGTGAGCGGGAAACGGTTCTAGCGTGAAGCGATATTTATCTCCTTGATTCAGATTCACGAATCGACTGCGTAGTTACGTCTTGTAATTTGTTGCTTATTTGAAACATTCAACTTTGGTCACTCAAGGTCCACGGTTGGTCCTTTGTCAAATATAACTGATTCACGGTAACCGAAAATCTACGGTTGAATCCGTAAAGAGTAGGAGTCATGAGGTTTCTACACACAGTACTTGCAGAAAGCAGTATCCTTTGGTCTCGGTCAAAGCGGTATATACGAGATCTATTTATTCTCAATTCATTTAAATTTTCTTGAATTATCAAAATTAACAATTGCCTGTAAATTGGACTTTTAAATGTCGAAGCAGAATAATAAATCTTCAACACAGTAGAAGAGAATTTAGAGATACACAGAATGAAAGAAAATTCAAGAATAAGAAGCAATTTGTAAACATAAAGGGAGCAAAGAGCTACATGTAAACACCGAGCTTTGAAAGCATATGCAGCGATAAAAACGAAAGCAAAACTAACATAATTGTACAATTAATGAGGATATTTGGGTAAGACACGAGCTGAGATATGTATTAAGGCGGCTGTTGAGCATACCCCGTTGATTGTGGAGAAGAAGCATGCTGCAATATAATCAATTCAGGAAGTCTAACGGTAAATAGGGATTGGACAGACCTGAGGTGCCCAAACGCCATGTGGGGAAGGAGGAGGCATAGGGCCATGAACAGAATGTCCATTTACTGCATGAGCAGCAAAAGGGACATGATGTAAATGAGCCGACGGGGAATGCGGAAGCAGAGGGGGCTGCGGGTGCGAATGCTGCGGATCTGGACCCGGAGGAGGAGGAGGAGGGATGGTAAATTGGGAGTGGGGGGGATGAGGATGGTATGCGCCACTTGACCCGAGCGCGACGTATGCGCTGACACCTGGGTGTCCCCGCTCTTCAATTATGTACATGTTCGACGCACCTTGTTGTCCTCCATGTGCATGCGCAACAGCAGCAACCAGGGAGTGGGTTGTTGCGTTGGTATTGTTGGATGGGATTGGTGCACCAGAGGCCTCGGCAGATCTGGGTACGCGCGATTGGGGGGGTGGGCTTAGCAGAGCATTCGAGGCTGGATAAGAACTGCCAACAACGGATGACGAAGAGTGTATACTCTCGATATGAGGGGTATCCGGGTTATATGGATAGAACAGATTGTGCGGTACGTCTAGCAGGGAAAGAGAAGACACGCCGCCTCGAGTTGGGGTAGCGGCTGTCGGGGCATTCGCAGTGGAAGAAACAGGCGTAACTTTCGGGACAGGTCTTTCGAGAGCTGTATTAGTTGGCTGAGGTCCAAACACTGGTGGAGAGAAAGCGTATTGGGGAGGGTGAGAATATGATGTACCGGCGGAGCCTGCCGAAGAGTTTGTTGCAGGGAGCGGAGGAGGATAGGTGTACGTCATTCCACTGGAGTTTGCAGATGTAGGATAAGATGAGGGCGACGGATAAGTGGCTGCCTGTACCGTAGGGGTGGACTGCTGGCTTTTAGGGCTTGCAGTAGTGTCGGCCCAGGAATGGTCCCAAGACCCTGTCGATGTGATATTAGTGTTAGTTTTGTCCCGATTTGGACTCGCAGCGTCCTCCTCCCATTCGGGTTCTGGTATTAGAACAGGTCGACCGATGGGTCCTTGTCGGCCAATGCCAGAAATCAGCCGACTTTCTCTACTCTCGCTGCGCTCACTGGAAGCAGTAGAGTTCTGTTGGTCAGACTCGTCCGGAGGACCTATTCCACGCAAGCCATTTTCAGAAAAGGAAGCTTCCATCACCTTTTGTGCTAGCTTAGCAATGAGTGGGTTGGTTCCTGCGTTGGTGCCAGAACCAGTCTCCCATCGCCAGCGGAATTTTGGGAGCATGTCCAGAGCAAGCCAAACGTCTTCCATGAGGATTCTGACGGCGTTACTTCCGCTCTCGCTTCCCTCGCCGTCTGAAAGGCCAGGTATGCCTTCATCGCACTTGCTCATCCTCCCGTATAGGATGACCATAGCAGCAATGTGCAATGGCACGGCGCTCGTGAAGAATCCAACTTCGGGAAAACGTACCAGCACAGTATGTATCGCGATGACGTTATGGGCCTGTACAATTGCATCAACCAAGGCCTTCTTTCTCTCAGCATATGAAAGCTCTTTCGAGTTGAATAGTGCACGGAGAAGAAGAATCCGTGATATAGCCAATTTTAGGAGAGTCAGGCCACTCGATTCGGAGAGGTTGGCAAGCAATTCGTGACGCTTAGAAATGGACCACGATTCGGTACCACCAAAGTAAAACTTGTACGCTTGTGGGAGAGAGCGACGGAAAAGATTTATAGATTTGATGATACGATTAGCATTGCGAAGTAGAACCTCGCCAGACTGGCGTGAGGGACTGTAGAGGGATATGATAATGTCAGCTTGAATTTCCGCAACTGGTGCAGAAAGCATAAAGTGTTCAGAGACTTCGAGGTCGGCTGCAATCGGAGGTTTGACATTGGACCCGGTGGGAGAGGTGAACACAGGATCGCTTGTACGAGGAGTACCAGGTCGCGGAGTGTTCGCATCGCTTGGGGCAATAGCCAATGGTCGGCCGAGAAGGATACTGGTTCCTCGGTCATGTACGAGGACAATGGACCAAAGTCGAATACGGAGGATGCATTCAAGTGGTGTAAAAGTGGGGATTTCCGGCTGAGGCGCTTCGTCGCCTTCTGAGGGAGAGGATGTGATGTGATGGGGATTTTGCGTCGTTTGTGTGGTCGGGTCATGGTGAAGACCTAGTTCGATAGCGAGCCGAACGATGGAGCCTACAAGTCGCCAAAGAGTGCGACCTTGGCGCTACACAGATAATCAGTACAGAATCAGATACATGGCTACTGCGACGTACTTCCGCATAGAGATACCAATGTAATAAGATCAATGCCTGAAGACTGCTTAGTGTCACCCGCAGCTCAGGCTTTACTGCCAAAGCACGATCAAAGAATTCATCATGAGCAGGCCAATCAGGGGGTAGGCGAGAGCTATCTGGGTCGGCAGAAGCAGCAGCAGACTTGGTGGCCTTTTTGGATCTATTAAAGGACCGTGAACGAGGCGATGAGACGTCCTCCTTGGATCCGTCGGCATCTTCATCCATCAGGGCATCTCCATTGGTCGAAGAAAGTTCGCCCTGATAGCCACTTCTATTAAGTTTACTGAGAGTCCCGAGTGCAAGTACGAGATAAAGAGAGCAGATGAATCCAGGGTCGAATACTGGTCTCGATGTGGCACCCTCCTCATATAGCTGATTGAGGGCTTCGATAAACTGATGACGAAAGAACACGGGACGATGGGGGTTGAGACGGGTAAAGTAGACATTGACAACATCCAGTAAAGTGTCACGGTCGTTGGGAATCCAAATGTCCATGGGGGATGCACCTGCAAGTGGTGGTGAGCGAAAAACAGATACGACCCGCCACTTGGCGCTATCCCGTGGAGCAGGCGTTTCGAGTTGGACGACTCGATCACGACCAGAATCTAGTCCTGATGAACCTACAGCAAGATCTTCTTCTGCTAGTGGAGCGGGGCCAACCAAAGGAGCTGGGGCATCACCACTGGTGTTGTAGAGAACCGCTGGCGGGGAATAATGAAACACGGGAACTGGAGGAACCGAAGTGTCGTTGACGATAGAAGGAGCGACGCCGAATGATTTAGCAAGGGCTTGGGTGGAAGAAGACATGTCATTCGATTTGGGATCCTGACCGGGTGGGGGCACAACTGGAGGAATCTGAAATGGAGGAGCATAAATGTGAAGGGGATACTGGTAATAGCCAATATTTGGATGGAAAAAAGTGGTTTGGGGCGGGTTCATTGTAGGAGGAGGTTGGGAAGCAGTGGGGCTACTGCCGGCACTTGTCTGCTGAGGCAGATTCTGGATTGGCTGAATAGTAGAAGGATCCAAACCCTCTCTGCTGCAGACATCCTCGACATTTTCGAGACTGAAGCCGGGAATGTGTCGTTTGAGGAGAGCATCGCATTGGGCAACGACTTGCTCGAGTCTTTCGGTATGATCCCTGGCGATAGTTGTCTGTCTATGGCGGTCTTCCTGGTTGCAAGGAACGCCTGCGGTGACGCAGGCGGTACATCGGGGGTGTTTTGAGTCGCACTGTACGGAAAAGAGAATTAGTTTAAGCGGTATATGGTTCGGGCGTTGCCGACGACGGATGCGCCCGTGTTGTTGGAATTATTTTCTTCGCAAATTTCCGAGAAATTATACAGACCTTTATCTTTTTCCCTCTGCACCGCGTACATGCCTCGTGCGATCGCCTCAGCCTTCGGGGCTCGCTAGGCTCTCCGTCATTCTTCCGTCGTCGCTTGGCTGTTGAGCCATTTGCAGGTGAAGGATTTGGACTATCCATACTGGACATCATCATGGTCCCAGTCTGGGCTTCCATGAAACAGAAAAGGGTCTGCTGGTCGAATCGATTTCAGCGAATTCCCTTCAGCTCATCAGGGAGATTAACCCTTTGTAGGTCGTGGGCGTTGTTGCAAAGCTGTGACCACTGACCAATCAGCGTTCAATGTTCCTTCCACTAACATCAACCTTTTCTCAAAGCCTTAAGCGGTTTTTCCGGATCGATATCATTCACCTGATTCTCCTCCCAATTCTAATTTGGTTTTTGAGTGGGATTAAAGATAGGAATTCGGCTTGTATCTACCGGAATTATTATTTTTTTTGAAAAATTTACTGGGGGTACCGCGGATCGAACGCGGGACCTTCAGAATTCACCACTTCAGTCTGCTGCTCTCCCAGCTGAGCTATACCCCCATTCCCTTATTAGGATAATATTCCAGCCAGCTCTTGACCACAATGAGCTTCTGTGATGATTGCTTCAAAGGTCAGTTTCATCCACCCAAGTTTTGACGGAATCGGATTTCATTCTCCGCATCTAGGTGTCACTCATGAAGGCACCCCAAAAGGTATGTCGGATCTTCTTCCATCTATCTCTCGGCTTCCACCCTCCTCCATCTAGGTCACTGGGAAAAAATTGGCGGGATCGACTGCTACGTTGGTATACCCAGTGACATAGAGTATCCCAAAGACAAGGCCCTGTTATTCCTCTCAGATGTCTTCGGCATGCAGCTCGTGAACAACCGGGTAATGTATAAAAGACACTAGTCGCTCCACATTTTTTCTAATTCAGATCTAGCTCCTCGTCGATGATTTTGCGGCTAATGGGATCCTAGTACGCCCCCCTTGATCCATTTGATCAATTAAACGCCTCACTATTGTACTAGACGTACGGAGTAGACTATTTCTTTGGTGACCCCATGCCCGCAGATGCCATGAATTCCGAAGTACGGCATCCCCAATCTAAGATCCATTCTCGATTCTGATAATGTTACTCCCGCAGACATTCGACAGGGACGCTTGGAGAGCACAACATGGATACGATCGTACTCGTCCTGCTGTCGATGCAGTCATTGCTGCTTTGAAGGAAAAGGGTATTCAGAGTTTTGGGGCTACAGGATATTGCTTTGGAGGTGAGTGTATCGAAGCTTGAATGATGAACGGGATGTTCGGTCTATGAAGTTTGGCGGCAAAACCTTACTGAACGAACCCGAGCATCAGTAGTCAGAGCCCAAAATGACCGTTACAGACGTTAATTTGTTTCTTAATTACAGCTGCATATACCGTCCCCTTGGCCATCGAGAATGTCATCCAAGTGGCCGCTGTATCTCATCCATCTCGGCTCAAGGTTCCGGAAGATCTCGAGGTAATCTTGTCCTTTACCATTTATAGTTCACGGGGATTTTACATTCCCTGTTTAATAGAAATACGCCTCCGTGTCTAAAGCACCCTTTCTCATTAATTCGTGCGAGGTGGACGCCATGTTTCCCAAAGAGTCTCAAGCTAAAGCAGATGAAATTTTCGGAAATGACAAGTTTGCTCCGGGTTACAAAAGGGAGTACTTTCCGGGATGCAAACATGGCTTCGCGGTTCGAGGAGATATGAATGACACCAAGGTCAAGGCCGGGAAGGAAGGAGCGTTCAAGGCGACAGTGGAATGGATGAAGAAGTGCTTGTGAAGGAAAGCAAAAAGAGGAAGCGTTTTGAATGTTGCACATGTACTTATAGTCTAGTGGACGTCGGTCCTTTCGAAATATGTCAGCCATTCCATTGCATCGTACATGTCATCCAGGTAAATTCTAAATAGATATAAAATATTTACTCCACAAATCTCCTCAAAACTTAAAGAAACGTGATCTTCGGACCTTGGAAGAGTCCGTAGTGTTGTGAGCCTGGGCATCAGTCGTAGCATTCGATGTGGATGATGGCTTCGGAGCCAATACGCTGGCGCTAGGTGAGATGACTTTGGTTGCATTGGAAACACCCGTCGATGGCTGAACTTGGATGCTTGAACTGATGGCAGAAGTCACCGCTTTGACGCTAGCAGAAGACGCGGACACGGTAGATACTTCGACAGATGAAGCCGCAGATGAGGCTGCAGATGGGGCAACGGATGGGGCAACAGATGATTGAGATTTAGCACTTGCACTGCTAGCTGCAGGCGCTGATGTAGCGACACGGGATTCCCCCAGGAGAGCAGACTTTGCTGATTGTTCGTAATGATCATTCGCTGGATTGAACAGTAAGTACGATCAGTTTCAAGCGCACGAAAAAGCAACGACTCTACATACCGACAGCCTGACTGATATCCCACTACACGGGCACGATCAAGATCAAGATTGAATGAAGAACAAAGGAAAGCCTCTTACCAGCATCACTCCACCGAATGAGGAGAACTGTGACTGCGTCGATTTAATGATAGTAGCAAGAGTAGCGGGGTCGACATAGCCGCTCCCTGCTGCCGTAGGCGAAGCAGGCGCACCAAGGTATACCTTCACGTTTCGATTAGGGGACGTAGTTTTGGCCCAGTTATCCCTAGTCAAGTTATTAGCAGAAGTTGCAGTGTCCTATATCATTGTGCATACCATGTAGAGAAGTCAAAGTCCTGCATGATCGCCCAAGTATATTGTAAGAGCTATTTTGAACCAAGAACGCACAGACTTACACCGCTGACACCGAAGTTTGATAGTTCGCAAAAGTTGTTGTAGAACTGTATTCATTATGGGAATATCTCCAAGGATTCTTCGAACACTCTGCGCTCACCTGGACATAGACGGCATCAAAACCGACAGCATTTATGACCGGGCCCAGGACTGAAACAAATGACTCAGGACAAGATGAAGCAGTCACCACGAGTCTTGCTCACAAGCATCAGGGAATCTAGAAGGCTTAAGGGTCAGTCAGCAAAACAAACAAATTTAGGAAGCAACGCACGGGCATTGAGGTGCTGCGGTAATGTAGTATCTTTTTGCGCGCGAATCAGCAAAGGTAATTCACACGGGTCATCCGACTTACGGTTTGCTGGCACCATCTGTATGGCTCCTTATTTGAGTGACGAATGCAGCGAAACCCGTGCTCCCGCCACCTTCAATATCCAAGTCGAGACTATAAAATGAGAAGGAAGCTTGAGATCATGGAAATACTCATGGACTGAGAACGAATCTCACCCATCCAAAACCTGACATTCACACATTCAGATTGTATTTCCCAGCAAAGGACAAGAGACACTTACAGCGTCACCGAAAGGTCGCGTATCCGACGTTCCTCCCAAGAAAAGATCCCAGATAAGATCTGCGAAAGCCTCGGCTTGGGAGTCCGAGGAGAAAGTAGCTGCTCCGGTCGCTCCGCCCATACTGAGAGTGACAATTTTGCCCGCCGCTTGGCAAGCCTGGATGTCGGACGCCATGAACTGACAATCCGGAAGGTCGCTGCCGGGGAATAATGAATCGTCGACATCGTTGCAAATCTAAGGTTAGGTTAAACTCAATTGGACTATATAGCCAATAAGTAGAAATGCATACATTGGCAAAATTAACTGAAGGTAGTCCGTCTATGTCGAAAAACACGTCCAAGAAAGCTAACGGGAAGACATCGACAGAAGTGTCCGACTTTAAAAGATACCACATTAGCAGATGTCATTGGTAAGGCTTAAAGTATGATATTTACGCAATAGGCTGATAAATTCTGCTGGAAATTCGCGGTGTCATCGGGATGAGTAGCTTGAGAAAAATTTGAGAAGGACAGAAACTGCGAAATAGGATGGGATATTACCTCCATATGAGTTCTGACCCCAGTAGCTAGAGCAACAGTCAGCGATTCCAGTTCAATTTGATGAGTGGATAATAGTCACGCGACGACCTGGATGATAAGGAAATGTTCAGCATTGCGACAGAATCTCGAGATAGAGAACCGTACTGACATTGTTGTTGCCGGATGGATTAAAAGCAGCCAGGGAGGAGGAAGCAAAAAGCAACAGGGCAACAGAGGTCCAGGAGGTGGAAATCATCATGGGCTGAGACCAGGGAAGGCGTCCGAAACGGTTCTCCTAACGCGGCCTTCGAAAAGCGAACATTCCTTTATACTGTGCGAAGTCTACCTTAACAAAATAGGCTCTTCAAATTCGAAACGAAAATTTGCACGCACTAGTGTGTTTGGATCGCAATAAGTGATCGTTCGCATACCATTTTGGCAATCTGGACAAGAAAGACACATTGGGTCATAGTCAAAATACAGATACTATAGCTCGGCAGAAGCAAAAGTATCGCATGGTGATATCCATGTATGGACCGAAGAGGCTTGCGGTCGTGTTAAATGTAACGTGTATGCGTGACATAGGCCAGATGAGACGCTTCTATTCCCGGGACATTCTTCGTGTATCAAACAGGATACGGAGTCAGAAAACTCGATAGGGGGGGTTGAGATAGAATACTTCAAGTTCGAAAGAGTACGGAGAAAATAATTTCCATTTCTGGAGATGAACGATGATCGTCGATGGAGTATTTGAATTTGAAGGGGCGCCCCCCAGCATTAGAGAAAAAAACTAAGATGATCTCCTTAGCGTAAGAGAGGAAAATAGGATATCCGATATCGTCGTATGACTGTAGCGGGAAGGAGCAGCTGAAAAAGCTGAAGGTGTCGAGATCAAACGATGTGGAGCGCTTACTCAATTCTTTGAAGTCTAACTAGAGAGTTGTACGGATTCAGTCCAAGGAGAGCCAGGGAATGAAATCATTGAGCCAAAATTTTAGGCCATGTCAGCAATGGAACTGCTCCTGAAAAAGATTGGGAAATGCACGCAAGGTCAGAAAGCGACACAAAGAACAAATTTTGAATAACGTTACCATATGAATTGACGCCGATTTTTAATCACAATGATTTAACTGAAGAGCGTTGTATGAGTTGAATGTGTTGCACTCGCCATCCAGAAGTAATGTCAAGTTGCCAAAACCTTGTCTGACGGCAGAAGTGCAGGTTCTTTGAGTCCTGGCGTGCGGAGGTTCATGCTGGGAATCATGAAGGCCATGAAGGCAGATCTGCCTCAGAAGACCACAAGCCAAAGACAAATACTTTTACATTTTCTTTATCTCTCTGGGATAGGCCATGCGTAGACTAGTCCGGGTGCACATGTCGCTTCTTTATGAGTCTCACAGCTAAAATAAACGTTTGATTGACTCACTAGATAAATTCCGGCGCATTACCCAGGAGGTGTAGTATTCCGAGGTTATTGGGCAGGGGATGTGAAAAATATGAAATTTGTGGCCAGAAAATAGTATGTACATGACTGTTATGCCGCTGGTATCTTACACAACTTCATTTTCATTTTCAATTTAGCTTTTATTTAGCTTTGAGGAGTGCTAAAATTGCCATCGGTGCCTTGAATTTTCTTGTGGTCCGCCAAATTAGCTTGTGCCTCGTAT